CGCAACAACCATCACCTCCATCACAGCCGCCACAGACCCCATACACACCATTCCGCCACACCCTCGCTCCATTCCCTGCGGAGTACACGCCCCACCCCTCAGTGGCACCTTCAGTGGCATCATCCACGCCACAACCCACCACACGTGGAATTTGTTCCCAATCGCTCCCCTCACGTTCAGAATGTCATCGTTTCTCAGCATTTTCAACGACTTCCGCCTCGGAGTCAGAATTCCACAACCTTTCCAGGTCCTCTTCCACGACTTCGCCGCCTCCCCCCCACCACCTCCACCTCAGCAATCCCAATCCCAAGGCATTTCCTCCAACCAGCCCCTACCCATCGCTGTGAAACACCACCCCATTCCCCAGAAAAAGATGACGAACAAGACAAGACATTGACATTTCACCCTCCAACCGAGAGGCCTCACCTTTCGCCAAGCGAGCCTCAAAATCTCGCTCACATTCCTCCAGGCTAGGTCCAGATCACGTACACACTCCAGAACCAAATCCCGTACCCATTCACCCACTCCCAACCCCACACCTACAGAAGACACGTCCGACGAACTTTCCCAACCCAAACAGTCCCCGGCCAAGTACCCTGCCAAGTTCCCACCAGCCAATCGCCCTCCTATCGCACCCCCATCCCGTTTACCCAGACTCAATACCACGCCACCACCAGGTATTTGGACAGACCCACGCCGTGGCCAAGCAGCACCACCACCTATCCGACTTAGACTGATTGGTTTCGCCCTTTCGTCCAATCTTTCCCAGATAAGCAAAAAGATTCGCAGGTTCATCACGCTTCACTCAATATTGTACATTCCCACACTTGATACCAGCAGCCTGACTTCTTCCAATTCTTTTGTATTTCTTTATTGCTAATACATTTCGCACTTCCATGTACACCAGATGTTTGTACCGATCGTCATTCTCCTGTTTTTTGAACTTTGCAACTTTTCAACTTTTAAACTTTTCCTTCAGTCATTTGATCAGTCACTCCACCGCAGCCATTCTCAATCAATTATTAATTATATATTCCAAGCTTTGATCTGTGACTTTGAGTTTGCGATTACAATGGAGGGCGCCTTCTGGCAGTGGACTCAGAACCTTCCCTCGGGGCATGTATATGGAGTTATGTCCGCCCAACTCAGTGTGAGAAGTACCATCTATCATGCCCGTGAGCAGCTCCACTCTATTGACGAAACCATATACTTGCATGCATGATCCAATTCTCCGACACCTGACTTCACCATTGGCCGACAGGATTTGTCGCATCAGAGCACTAGTTGAACATACACAGCAAGACTTTACACACACGCCCTCAATCACATCGATGCCATCAGCCAGATGCCGCTGGACACACTCGAAGGCAAGGGCAAAGGACAGCCCACCAGCAGAGCCCACAGACGATCCTACAACAGGCTGACCACCCCCACAACACTCCACACTTGATCCTACAACCCCCATCCATCCACCAACCGACAAACAACAACAACAACAACAACAACAACCACCACCACCACCACCACCACCACCACCACCACCACCACCACCAC